GGGGTATCAGGTACTTGCAATGTAATTTTCTTTAGATCGTCAGCTATTGCAACATTGCCTATTTTTATCACACTAGAATTACTGAATTTCAATTAATCTCAAGTCCACAAGGTCCCTGATATCACAGCCTTTATGCCACTGTGATCAAGCATGGCGTACAAAATTTCAAGAGACCATGCCAAGGTAGATCAGAAGGATTTATTCGTCGAAGGATCGATTGAAACTTGCAAACAGCACATGTACATCAAATCAATATCATTTGTTATTTAGCCAGTTTTCCACTGTGCAGAATTTTGCGCGTGGAACACGTACTGAATTTTTCTTTGTCTTGCGATTTCTCGGGTGGAATTAATTAGAAAAGATTCCGCTCCACGCGCAGAGTTCTGCGTAGTGAAAAACCGTCTTTACATGTTCCGCACTCCGGCATCCGCGTTTTCTACCGTGCAAAATATGCTAATTAGTACATCACGTGTGTCATGAAGCACAAACCACGAGGTAGTTCAACACGATACTGCGTTTCTGCAACAGCTGAAAGTACACATCAAGAACTGATTGAATACTGGCAATGGAAATGAACTAGATAAGATTATATTCGCAGTAAAAGGCATGGAAAACTCAATAGTCGGATCCGAGGATGTTGATATCTCATTATCAACAAGTACGGAGCGAGGTAAGCGATTTAAGTGCCATCGGCTAGCCAATGCAAAAAATCTAATTTTTATTCTCGAACCAATTAGAATCCGAAGGAGCCCGTGAGAACGATGTTCATATTTCTACATCTGAAATGGGAATACAAGCGGATTTTTCCGACGAAGAGAGCGATTTAGAAAGTTATTCAAGTGAAGGTGAGCTTGTGATTGCCGAGAATGAAGGCAGAAAGGATTCGAGTGATTCGAAGGTGCAAGATACAGGTTCTAAGCATTCCAAGTCTACTCAAGGCGAGGGTACCAAGACGGCAAGAAAGGCAATTGAACTCAAGTATATCTATGGCGACGATTTGTCCAAGAATGATATAGAAAGGCGTAAGTTTTGGGTCTTTCAACTGTAATATTGTGCATCAATTCATTGTATTGAGTACAATTTACATTTTATAGACTGTGTTTTAACTGTTCAGGGGGGCAGTCGTTAACTTATAAAGGAGATACCTTACCATGAGATCAGTAAACAATGAAGAACAAATCTCTGTAGTAAAACGTTTGCTTGTAAAATATCAAATCCACAGGGTATCAGCCACAGCAATTAGGAAATGTCATTATTACAACTTACTACTCCCCCCTCTCCCAATGTCATTATTACAACTACTCCCTGTACTCAAGTATCCTTTTGGTACTTGTCCAGTGCAGATAAATTGTACATCATAGGGATGCACAGGATATCATATCCAGCTGGATATTTTTATATTTATTCATTTTTACATGTCTTTTATTTATATTCTACTTTGTATTTTATAACCCATTGACGTCCAAGACTCTTCCCTTGACGAGTAATATCTTCTGACGTTAGACAAGTAAATACTAAAGTAGGGCACATGGGGGTATTGCGCAGGCTTACATTCCAATGGTCCGGACCCGACCGTTGGAATGTTATTATTAATTAATATTTCGTATCTTTTGAACTTTCTTGAATTGAATCTCTAGTCTGTATCATTTACAAGCACAGCGAACCAGAAGAGTGTTAAAAATTCAGTATAATATATATCTAATCATATTTTACAACTGTAGCACTGAGTTCAAAATGTAAACAATTAGCGTTGTTTACATTACGGACGTTGTTTACATTACGGACTTTACATGGTCTTTAAAGTAGGGATGAGCCGATAAGGAAAATTGCCGATTACTGAGGCTGATTATTTATTATAAGCCGATTATTTATTATAACGGCAGATTATTTATTATAACTAATCGGCCGATTAATCGGTACCTGCTGATTATTTTAAAAAGCGGTTTTATTGTTTACAATACACACTATGTACAATTAAAATCAGCTTCAATGTTGCATGTCAATAGTCAAAGTTTAGTTTTGGCAGATTATGATGTAAAAACAGGATATTGTAAGCTATGCGGAGCTAGTCTGCTGCGTTTTTCAGTTCTCTTGACACAAGACACAGGTTTTGCAACAAAATGTGAAAATCTATTCGCTTGTATTCAGTATTTTAGCATATGGTTGGGCCAGTTGGCAGCTGCAGAAAAAGTCTTATAGCCGATTATTTGCCGATTATCAGGCAATAATCGGCCAATTACTGATTATTTAAAAAACGGCCGATTAATCAGCTTTGCCGATTATTTACCGATTAATCGGCTCATCCCTACTTTAAAGGGTTAATTTTGCATGATTTTGTCCAGGACCTTCCTGCGGTCAGTTGTTCGAAAACCGATTAGCTTAACCCTTGGTTAACCTAAACTTCTAAGCCAACTTCCCAACAGCTTATCTATAAATTTGGAAATGTTTCTTCAGAAATCTTGGCTGAGTCAACAAGACTTTATTTCTCTGAAGTTTTGAAATAAACAAATGTGCAGAAATATACTGTACAAACCAAAACAGCAGGTTAAATTTTAACCGAAGGGTTAGCACTAATCCACCTGTGAACAACTGGCCCCTTTGGGTGAGGTTGTCTCTTGGGAGGATTATTAATTAAATTAAATTCAATTACCACTGGCATCCTTTTCAGATTAAAAATGATTTGATAATGTTAAGAAAGTTAAGGTTAAGAGATGATCACAGAAAGGCTGGCAGTATTTTCAATATTTTCCATGCTAATGTTTGCAGGGCCATAGCAAGCGGGGGGCGGGGGCTAATAATTGCTCATGAGCAATTTCAGGTAGATTTGCAGTAGATTTTCATGAAAATTCAGGTAGATTTGCAGTAGATTTTTAGGTAAATTCAGGTAATTTGGATGGCATAAGAAAGTGAATTGGGAAAAATAACTATATCTGTGAAAAATTTGTTTGTATTTTCATCAAAAGTTTTGGCATGTCCAGAAAAATTTTGTTATTTTCGGAAAAAGTTATGATATGTGGGGAAAAATATTAATTAGTGCAAAATCAGGTAAAAACGTTGAGTTGGATAAATTCAGGTAATTCTAACCTCCCCCCCCCCAAGACAAAGTCATCATGCAACGGCCCTGAATGTTTGTAAATGTGGATTTAACCTTTGAAGTACATGTAATTGTGAGCAAGGCTTTGCAATGTTTACTAGGCTGTGAAGTTGATGAACACCTTCACTTTTTAAGCAATTAAAATTATTAAAATGAGGCCCGAAACTTACACAAATAATGTACGGTATATGCAGGGCCGCTGAGAGGTTGGCGGGGCCCGGAGCAATTTTTTAGCCCTAGGCCCCTGTTTAAAAATTATTTCCGGAAAAAAAATTTTTCGGAGAACAACCTCCTCCCCCCTTTATCTCAATTTTTTATGCCAAATTTCGGTACTTAGCCCAAAAAAACAGATATCAGGGACCCCCAGCACCTCAAGGCCCGGGCAATTTGCCCCCCCCTCGGCGGCCCTGGGTATATGGCCAGATATCATGGCATATCCAGTATGAACCCCTAGTATATTGGGTCGTTCCAGAAAAGATCCATACTCCCCCACAGAGGAAATTTATACTGTCCAAAGAGGGAGGGGAGAAAAAATCGTTTCTGATAATAGTAAATGTATTAGGACATCCGAAGGGGTTCCGGGGATTAACTTCCTATTTCCTCTGTGGGGGTGGTATGGATGTTTTCTGGAATGACCCATTTCATGTGCACCCCCCCCCCCCAGATGTTTTTGCCATTAGACAACAGCCAATCTATCTGAAATATGAAAATACTTCCCAATGTTTTGAGCAGAGGTGATATACTGTAGCTGCAGCACAGTGGAGTAATCCTGGAACACTTGTAAGGGATATCAAGGGGTGGGGGTGGTTTAATTACAATGTGGGGTGGCAACATGATAAACATTCAAAATTCCAGCATTTATTAATTTGGTTTCTACAAATTCTTCAGTTATATAGCAGGACCTTTTTTAACTATATAACTGGGGGGGGGTGTGGAATTTAGAAGTGATGTTTGATATTGTAGTAACTGAAATGTACTTGGTGAATCTCTTATCTTCAAATGATTCAATGTCTTTTTAAAAATGCTAACATTGTGTTGTAAATATCTTAGATTTTAAAAATGTCAAAGGGGATAGCATATCCTAGACCTAGACCCTATAGATAGATTTGAGTTGTTGGAAGGCTACTGCTATTAGACAAGTTAGTGACTGAATTGTGGTATTTACAGAAACTTACCATGCACATACTCAACTGAATAGTAAGAAGAAAGACAAACTTTTTGTCAACAACAAATGGTCCCTTTCTGTAGATGGCTCCCACTGACAAATTTTTTTAAAAAGACCCTGTTCTATAGTGCTTTTAAAATTTTTTAGGTTTAGACAGGCTCGAAATTAATGATATTTTATCATTAATGGTAGAACTTCAAAAATTATCTCATGGATCAAAATGATCAAGGGAGGCCACCTACCCACCCCCCTTGCCCTTTAGTAAGGAGGGCAGGGGGGGGGGGCGAAAGTGCCCTTATAGATAACATTCTAACCCAAAAAATATGAGGTACAACAATTAAAAAGTATGAATTACGGGTGAAATGTTCGTAATATTGAAATATACGTGAAATTTTCTGGAATATTGTGTCAAAAATTGTGTTTTCAAATTTTTTTGCCCTTGTTTTGGTGAATTAAGGTCCTGGAAAAATTTTCGGAAACGAAATATTAATTAGTGATTGCCCTTACGTCAACATTGCCCCCCCCCCTGTGCCCTACCCTCACTCCGGCGTCCCTGGGTGGGTCAATCCAACCTTGAGCATTATCAGTGATACTAATTATACTGTAAGTCTCAAAAATACCACAATCATCCCCCAATCAACCCTCGTTATAACCCCTGCACATTATTTTGCTGATTTTGCTATTCAACTAAAAAAATTTAATTTGTCTTTTGATTGGTTAGTGCTAATACACCCTTTCGATAATTACGTCACAAGCACTTTTTGATCTTGGAGCCTCACTTTCATTAGTGATCCGAATCACATTTCAGAATGTAATACAAATATACAGAAAACTACAACAAATACCAATAATATATGAAGCAAGTATGGAATAAGGTCAGGGCCATGACTACTGGTGTGTGTGTATGGGGTGTAACGCCCCCAAAGAAAAGTCATAGAAGGGGGCCCCAATTTCCCCAGAGGAGGCCCCGAAATGCTGGAATTGCGAAACGTTAAATATTAAGGAATGTTGTGAAAAATTGCGGCCGAAAAAGCTCTGAAAAACGTATTTTTAACCCCCCCTCCCCATTATCCAAAAACATTTTGGAAGGAAGGGGGCCCAAACTTTTGAGTCCCCCCCCCCCAACCTGATATCGCTCGGCACGTCCCTGAATAAGGTAACAATTAAAAGTACTGTCAATGTCTATTTTTGACAGGCAAAGACAGATAGAGCTAAACATGTAGGAAAAAGTTTATAAAATTAATGAGGGTGCCAAGTTTGGAAATGAGGCAATTATTTCATGTTTTTTTGCAGCCAGGAATGGGAGAGAGGGCTCCAATTTTTATATCCAAAACACTGTGATTGCCACTATAGCTATTAAAATTTCTCTATTTTTAGAACTCCACAGATTTATTTACAAATAGGACTGGCTTTGTTCTGTTTTTTCCACAGGTGCAGATCTAGCTGCATTTGGTAACAATTTTTTATTTACAATCATGTAGTTAGCAAAGCGGATGTCCTTGTGCCACCAGGATTACTCATTCAAAATTCATCGATTCCTGATGCCGGTCATGGTGTATTTGCTAACTGCGAAATACCAAAACATGAATTCTTTGGTCCATATCTTGGCAAAATTATTGAAGCAAAGGATGCAAAGAACTATGAGGAATCACATTATATATGGGAGGTAAGTTTGTTTTGTACAGATAGATTATAGAACCTAAATTGACATGTCATTGACGATTATACATCCTTCCAGAAGGTACGCCACTTTGGCTAAAACAGCCTCGTTTTTGTGATTGAGACATTAGACTTTGACTAATTGTCACATACGCGAAAAGGAGACTCTATGACTATATAGCCAAAGTGACGTACAATTCGCGAAATATTATATTATATTACCTCATTTTTGTTGCTGCAAACCCAGTCCTTTAAATTGTGTTGGCTTAAATTGAATGTTTTAATTTAAATTTAGGTAGGCTTTGTAGGATCTTTATTACAGCTTTGTTATACAGATAGATACACAGACACAGTTGATTTAAAAGTGTTTACTTTTAGTGGCGTTTGCCTCCCCCCCCCCCCTATTTTGTTTTGCACTGAAATAATCGATATTAATAGTTTACATTGTAAAACATCTTTTTTGTCAGTGAATCCAATTTTTGTGGTGATTTGTGGCCCTAAACAGCCGCTGCAAAAGTGTCTTTCGAAGGCTTTGTTCATGTTGTTTATGTTTTTAAATAAAGCAAGTGGAGGCCGAAAACCCAGGCCGCTGAAAACCCAGGCAGTTCTCGCGCATGCGCAGACAATTTTCCCACCTGATCTGGCCAGAAAAAAACTGAAGGCTAACACAAATTTGATATATCTCAGAATCTGAGAAACATCACTGTGAAATATCATTTCCATGTCTGTGAGTTCGTTTGCTGTTGTCGTTGCGTTGCCATCCTCGTGCATGCTTTAGGTCGCTGTATTTATACGCAAACGGTTGATTGACTGAAAGATAAAATGGGGAAGTTGACAAAGGATAAAAATAAACGCAAACAGCGGACAAAAGGAAAAATATCAAACGTGCATATGCGCGGGATATATTCCGTTATACCTGACCAATAATTTCCCGAAGTTCACTATTTGACTGAGTATGTATATTAATAAGGCTATAAGAAATGTTACTTATTCCAGTCTCATTCCCAATCGCCTTATGGCATCATTTGATATTTTACCATATTAAGACATGCATCACTCTGTAGAATAGAAGGAATACAAAAATTTTTGTTTGATCATATCTATTATTTATTGGTGTTTGGACTCTGCCTCATCTTTGCTCGGTTTTCTCTTAGGTAAAAGATGACTTTGGTCAACTGATCCATCTTATTGACGGAAGCGATGCTTCTCAATCGAATTGGCTAAGATATGTAAACTGTGCGAGAACAGTCGAGGAACAAAATATTCAACCAGTCCAATATGAAAACAGCATATATTACATGGCGACGCAAGATATTTCGCCTAAGGAAGAGTTGCTCACGTATTATGGACAAAAATATGCCAAGAAACTAGGATTGGCAATTCAGAAGAACGACCGTAAGTCTAATATATCGTATAATTTACTTTACGGATCGATGTTGTTATATAAGGTTTAATATTATACCCCAAATTCAAAGTGTCCAATCACAAAGCTAAGTTTGTGCCACGTGAGCTTGAAATTTATCATCGAATCACGCCTTACGTCATCGTATTTTACGTAGCGGGTGATTTCAATCCTATCACTCGGGGTGATCGATTTGATCATATCACCCGGGTGATATGATTCGCGTAAGTTTTCCATCCAACTCAAGCAAACCAAACAAAATAGGCTACAACGAAAAAGTAAAGAAAATTAATATTTAATCGTAGCCCCCTCCGCAGGTAACTCTTGAAACGCCACAAATAAATTCATAGTTGGGGGATAGTTGAGGTCAACTATCCCTTAACTATCAAATCAACTATCCCTGACTATCCCTCATGTGTTTCAATAGTTGCCTGCGGAGGAGGCTAATTTCATTGTATTTATATATAGAAAATGAAGCATTCCAATGTCGTCATTGTAGCAAGACCTACTCGAATGCGGCATGTCTGATTGGCCACTTGAAATACAAATGCAACAACGGCCAACAACGTAGCATCTTCATGCCACAACCGACAGATCGCGTGAACCCGTTCAAAGTGGATATCCCGGATGATGTGGTCGTTCGTGAGAACGAGAAAATGAAGAAATTCCGCTGTCCAACATGTGATAAAAGATTCATACGCAACTACACGCTTCAGTGTCATATGTTGATACATAGTGGAAAGAAAGATCACGTGTGCGAAACGTGCGGCAAGGCGTTTACCTTAGCCAAGCATCTCCAGCGTCATAGTCTCATTCACTCCGGCCTCAAACCTTACAAATGTCACTTGTGTGGAAAATCGTTTACCCAGCAAGGCAGTCTACAGGCGCACAGTCGAACACATACTGGAATCAAACCGTACAAGTGCGAAGTTTGCGGGCGCGCATTTGCCCTGCAGTCTCCACTCCTGTCTCATATGAAGACGCATCAGGATGAGAAAGCGTACAAATGTTCGACATGTGATAAGGAATTTACACACCGTAATACGCTTGTACGTCATGAGCTTGTACATTCAGGGGCGCGCCCTTACACTTGTTCTGTATGCGGCAAATCGTTTACCCAAACCAATGATCTGAAGCGTCATAGCCGTATACATAGCGGGATCCGACCGTACCAATGTCATATTTGTGGCAAAGCTTTCACTGTTGAGTTTACCTTAGTTTGCCATGTCCGAACTCACACTGGTGTCAAACCGTACTCCTGTGATTATTGTAGTAAGACTTTCACCCAACCTGGCGCGCGGTTGAAGCACATTCGAAAGATTCATCCCGATAAACCGTTGCCGCCATCAGCAAAAGGACGAAACTCGCGTGGCCACGGTAACGCTGAGAAGAATGACGAGGAAGAAACGAAGGAAGATGAAAATGTTTTGAACACCGATGGTGGTCTGAGTAAGACGCTTGAATGAAATTATTGACGAATAATTATATTTAATGAATTAATAAATGATAATGAATAAAATAAATGCATATGAATATAATAAATTATGCATTTGCTGTGTTTTGGTTTTACGTATTAATTGGGCGTTAAAGTTGACTGAGTTGCCGGGGCCTATTTTAGTGTGCAGTATTGATTGAAAAGGGTACAGCTGTATTGAATGTGAAAGTGTGCAGCATTGAAAAGTTAATTTTTAGCTGAAGGTATTAAAAAACAGTGCTACAACGTCGAACAATGGCTTAAAGTAAGTGGGGGTGTGCTAATCAATCATCCCCACTTGCACCTGAGAGCTAAGCTGAATTGCGAAGGACGTAGCTCAACCTGATCCAGTCGAGGCTTACTAAGGGCGCCTCTGGCAGCCACCTCATGACTCATGTCTGATCAGGCGGCTAATCCCAACCCACCTGTCAACATTCCCTGTGGGAGAAAACCGAAGAACCCGGAGAAAACCCACGACTTTCGGCAGCCTCGTTTCCAGGCTCTTCCCAGTTTAGACCCTGTCTACGCCACTTCAGAAGTTCTGAAAAACTGAACGTTTATTTAAACTCTTGGAATACTATCCTCGTCTGTGAGTTTATCCGAAATTTTGTGAACTATTTAAAAACTGATGTGACTGTCTGAAATCTATTGCGAATTGCTATAACTTTCTAAACAATTTGCGTTGTCGGGTATTTACTCTTAGTTGAAAATATCAGGCACGCACTATGGACTTATTTAGAAGCATTATTGTCTATTGAGTTCTTGTCTTTCAATAATGCACTATTCTTTAATAATACTGTGGGCTTGTGGCTAATATACTATAAATTCAAATTAGAACAATATGTTAATTTCTAACGATCTACTTTCTTGAGACACCTTGTGTACTATTTTTTACATAGTTGCTCGGCTTCGTGCTATTACCATGCGTCCAACTATTAAATTTTGCTGTTACCATGCGTCCAACTATTAAACCGAACGCTTTGCTTTCACCAGTTCACTCGTACCGTGCACTCCTTAAAATAGTTGGCTTTTCTTGTCAAACACAAATACTACAAAAGTCCATCCCAGAACATAGGCACCCCCACAAATATTTTTTGAATGTGGGCCTCTGCTTATGTATAATATTCGATGCATCATTTTGTTAGTCCGTTAGTTTGTTGGTCTGTTAGTTTGTTTGGAATCAAGCCTTGGTATATGTTCAAAAAATAGTAATGTCTTTTTCGCATACTTCAGAGCACCATCATCAAAGACAGCCACATCAGTATTTTCCGGAATGTCCGCCTTATTTTGGGAAATTCCGCGAGGTTCCGTCACATTCTGACATGTCCGCGCAAAATATTTCGAGACTGAATAAGCAAGCTAGATATGGAAAATTGGTAAAGGAATATACAATTCCAAAAGTTCTTTCAAATGAGACACACTTAACTTTTATTGTGATATCCTTTTATAAAGGCGTGTTTTAATTCCTTTAGTTCACAGCAAGTTAATCTTCTAGTTTCCTTTTTGTTGTTTTGGGTTTGTTTCCTAGCCTGCGTGCAGCATCAACCCGAATTTGAGGCTACATGTACGCAGGATATTTGTTTCCGTGCTCCCGTTTTAGTTCGTTTCATTTAACTCATTTCATCTGGTTCTGTTTCGTTTCCGAAATATATACGCCCACTAAACTGGCCCCCTTTGTCAAGGACACTTAAGGCGTTTTTTTAATACCATGGACTGGTGCCCCACTGGGCCCCCTCCTCTGCCCCACAACTGAAGAAAACAAATGGCCTATTGCCCCAAAAAGCCAGGGCCCTAGGACCTGTATTGAGTAAATGAGTAATAATGTTGAAAAGAAAGTTTAAGAAACAAAATTTGTTGTTGAACATTTGTTTGAAAGTTTAGCATGCAATTTATTACAAATTTCACCATAAAATCTTTGTTCTGAGAAGCTGAGATATTTATAAAATATGTTCTCAGAATGCAGGAAATGCTATTGCAGAGACCCAAATTTTAAACATTTCCTGGGGGGGAGAGGCGCCCAGATCCCCCAACTGAGTCGTGCCTGCGGTACTCGGCTCACACTTTTGGTGATCGCATACTATATCCTTGGGGGAGAGCAAGGAAAATTGGCCCTTTGGCAGTTTTGCCCCACCACTAAGGAATCCTTAAAAAATGCACTGAGAACACTGATGCTTCATTGACGCAATAAAATTACACAACTCTATTTTGTTGCAATGCATTTTAATATTTAGTATTCTACATTACCCAGGGGCGGATTCAGACCGTTGCAACCGTAGCATATGATACGGTCAGATTTTCCCTGAGATATATTTTTCCAGGTTGTACCTTTTTTAAAGTTATTAAAAACTAAAACGTTATACTATTTTTAATTGCCGTTATTTTCAATTTTTCATTGCAACTTGGTGCAATTTTTTTTTAATTTACTAAATCATATTGATACAATTTTATCGAGTTTTTATTTCATTTTGGATAATTAAATTCTGGTTTTTCTCAAATTTCCGCCCGAAATACTGCCTGTATTTGCGGGTTTTGCACTAGTACTATATCACATCGTTCTGAAGTCGTAGCATTTGCTTCATTGTGATTGGCTTGCTTCGTCTAACCGTAGCAAACCAATCATAGCGTTGTATTTTGAAATTTTTGCAGTGGTCAGATTGAAACTGACCGTTGCAAAAATTCGCAAATACGGCGTGCTGATTGGTTTGCTACGGTCAGACGAAGTAAGCCAATCAGAATGAGGCAAAATGCTACTGTTTGCAATAGTCGCATCGACTTCAGAGCGATGCTGGCTTGTTATTGTCGTGTCGGCTCCTCGTTGTAATCGAATAGTCGGTAAATGTTAATCGCCGCTCGTTCCAAGGAGAAAGATATGGTGGCTTCTACATGACTCCACGATCTTCTGTGTATAATGAACGAATGTAAACGTGTTTCATTTAACGAAAAGGTGCGCGAAAGAATTCTGATCGAAAGCTTTTGGTGTGCGATTATTGGCATAATTTGCATTTCCCGCGATGTGAACTGTGAAGACAGCGCTGTTTGAATCACCTCCATGTCAGGTCAGTCTCATGAATAGTATATTAAATATGTAAATAACATATCGAATTTTACACAGTTCATGCGTCTCGAATATATTACCATATATTTGCTGATGAAACGTATCATTATAAAAATGCAGAACAATATCAATGGCCACTCACACTATTTGATAGCCATTGGCATGCCATGTGTGTTTATATTAAGAAATATGTTAGTTAATCTCCTATATATTTTATATCTTAGACTTTGTTCATGTAATTATTAGTTGTAGACCTGTAGTCTATAAAGACTAGTGAGTAGTGTAAATGAAATTTATAGAAATAGTACACTCCGATATATTATATTGTAGTTTACATGTATACTAACAGAGTTTAGAATTACAACAGCTGAGCCTGCTTCCTGGGATAACATCATAAATATATGGTTAGATGTTTCAAATCCATGTATTGTATACCTTACTTGTATTAAAATTCGCTCGTATACTCATTTTCGATCATGCTTTAAATTCGCGCATTCCAATTTCGCGAAACTTGTTCGCGCAGCTTTAAATTCGCGCAAGTAATTTTCCGTGTTGGTTCCTTTTGGTTTGATTAATAGAACTATAACAACAAATACTTCAATATTTGTCAAAACAAAATTCATGATAACAGTAAAGCCTGGTTCACATATGCCTGCGGCATGCCTGCGACTGTATCATTATGCCTCTACTTGCCGCCGAAATACCGGCAAAGTTGAACTGAAGTCTCAAGTCAACTTTCCCGGCCTACCGCCGATGTAACTGTGGCACTGGAGGCAATCGGCGAACAAATGTTCACATAATTTACGTTTTAAAGCTACCATCGGCATCGTCGCCGGTACGTCGCAGGCATATGTGAACCAGGCTTAAAGCGTATAAAGTTCAAACTTCAAAATGTATGGTTGTCATTTGCCTAATACAATAACAATAACAATAACTAATTTTATTAGCATCCCATATATTATAGGTTCGTATATGGTATTGCCTTACATTATATTATTTACTAACAACGAGTGAATATTACACCGCAAAGCTTTTCGCGTGGATTATATTTCCCGCAGTACTAAAATTTGCGCACCCAGCTCTGCGCGAATTCCTGCAGTATTGCTCGAATTTTAGTACAAATAAACATATACAAATAAACATTTTTTTTAATTGCCGTTGTGCTGCTGTTTCAAGATGATCTACAAATAAACATTTTTCCTATAACTTGGAGATAATCTATATACAGTACAGAAAAGATTTCAGTTTCCTGACTGCCATAAGTTGTCCTGCTGTTTCGGGATGATCTATATATGCTGCTGCTTAGCCAGATAAACATTGTCCCTAACTGTCGTTGGGCCGCTGTTTCAAGATGATGTACATTTGAAAACTTTCGAACTACTGTTATCTTACTTTTTCAAGATAATCTGTTGTTCGAAGTGGTATGTTGATGAATAAATTTTGTAACTTTTGTGCGTTTTTTTTCTGACTTTGGTGTGAAAAACAGCCACTTTTCTACAAATTTTAAATCTAATTTCGATGCTCAGAATGCAGGAAATGGTACTTGCGGGCTTCAAATTTCAAAAATTTTCTGGGGGGGCATGCCCCCAAACCCCCCTAGGTAGGGCGTGGCCTTCGGTCCCGCATGTTGATTTCATCTAAAATGCTACGGTCAGATTGAGACGCTGAATCCGCCCCTGGCAGATCACCTATCCAATTTGAATGCAGTGTTGACGCGACTGTCTGGAGCGGGCCTAAGATTGAAGAAGATCAAATGTTGTTTCATGGAATCAGACGTGACATATTGTGGCTATGGGATAAACAAGAACGGAATCCATCCGGTGGTCGAAAAAGTCGAAGCCATCACGAAAGCACCAGAGCCAGAGAACATTAACCAATTACGATCATTTCTTGGAATGATAAACTACTATCACAGATTCTTACCAAATGTGGCAACGATCCTAGAGCCACTACACAGACTACTACGACAGGGAACCAAGTGGGAGTGGGGAGAAGAGCAAAAGGCGGCATTTGACTATGCAAAAGAGCTCCTACAGTCAGCTGAGTTACTCATCCATTTTGATCCGACCAAGCCGTTAATCTTAGCGACAGATGCATCGAATTACGGAGTTGGGGCCGTTTTGTCACATGTATTTCCTGATGGGACAGAAAAACCGATAGCGTATGCCTCAAGGTCTTTAAACGCAGCTGAGAGAAATTATTCGACAATCGAAAAGGAAGCATTGGCCACGATTTTCGGCGTTAAGAAATTTCACAAATTTCTTTACGGACAGTCATTTACCATCAAAACAGACCATAAGCCATTAGAAGGGTTATTCAGCGACAAAAAAGGAGTCGCCACTCAGGCAGCACCACGAATTCAAAGATGGGCCCTCACTCTAGCAGCATACGAGTACAAGATACAATATAATGCCGGGAAAAACAATGGGAACGCAGATGCATTGAGTAGACTACCCCTACCAAAGATGCCACTGTCAACGCCACAGCCAAGTGAAACAATCCTCCTGATGGAACATTTGGAGGAAACACCAGTCAACAGCAATCAGATAAGAGAGTGGACCAAACGAGATCCAGTTATGTCAAAAGTCCTTCGTTTCACAATGCAAGGTTGGCCAGAGTCCTATGATTCCACAACATTTAAATCTTACCACAACAAAAAGTTTGAGTTAAGTGTGGAGGATGGCTGTTTACTCCGGGGTACGAGAGTTATCATTCCACCCCAGGACGATCAAAGATCTTAACGGAGCTGCATGAAGCACATCCAGGGGTTTCCCGCATGAAAGCCCTCGCAAGAAGCTATGTGTGGATGATATTGAGAGGGAAGTGAAGAATTGCAATCAGTGTCAACTGCATCATACAACTCCAGCTGCTGCACCACTTCATCCATGGGAGTGGCCAGGACATCCCTAGACGCGGCTTCATATTGATTATGCAGGACCATTCAAAGGTGAAATGTTTCTGGTAGTGGTTGATGCATATTCTAAGTGGCTAGAAGTTCACCAGATGACATCCACTACGTCTACAGCAACCATTGAAAAACTACGCGAGATTTTTGCCACACATGGGCTACCGACAACAGTTGTCAGTGACAATG